CAGGGGCTCTACCACTGAGCCACGCCCCCAGCCCCTCACTGGGGGATTCTAGGTAGATGCTTTACCACTGAGCCTTTGTCTGTCTGCGCATAGACCAGAGGTGAATATTGCATGTCTTCCTCAGGGTCTCCACACTTTAAATTTTGAGAACAGGCTCTCTCATTGAACCAGGAGCTCACTGAGTGGCTAGGCAGGCTGGCCAGTGAAAACCTGGTATCCTTTCTTTTGTTAGGAATAGGGTTACAGATGCTGTGTTTGCAGCACATGCACCCTAACACACACACACACACACACACACACACTCACACACGCCCACACAAATGAAGAAAGTATAGTCAAATAAACAGGTAAACTACTCTAGCCTGATGCGATGGTGTATGTGCCTTTAACCCCAGAACTCAGGAGGTAGGGGGATCTCTGTGAGTTTGAGGCTAGCCTGATCTATATAGCGAAATTCAGGCTAGCCAACACTATAGAGTGAGCTATCTGTCACAAACAACTTCAGGAGGTTGGGGAGAAAGAAAAGAAAGAAAAAGAGCTCTGGCTGCTCTTCTAGAGGACCTGGAGCTCAGTTTCCAGCATTCATAAGGTGCTTCACAACCATCTGTAACTACAGTCCGAGGCCGCCTTCTGACCTCTGCAGGTACTAGGCACACTCGTGCACACACTCAGACATAAAACTTATACATATAAATAAAGCTAAAACTATTAAACAATAACGCTTACTTTGCTGTGTTGTTTGGGCTTTAATAAAGCCAATGCCATGCCAGGCACGGTGGTACAACTCCCGTAATCCCAGTACTGGGGAGGTGGAGGCAGGAGGATTAGGAGTTAAAGGATGTATAGGGTGTTGGAGACCAGCTTGGGCCATTTGAGGTTTTGTCATGCACGCCTTGACAAAGCCAAGTCTAGCAAAGTGATCAGGGTATACTTAGGTATACGCTGACCTCTGAGTAACCTGGACCTGTCTTTATACTTGAGAATATCCTCGAAGCTTCCTGACTTGGAGGCCAGGACCCTCCTCTGAGCATGTACCACACTCTCTCCTGCCCCTCCCTTCTCTGTGGGCGCGGCCTGTCTTGCCGTGGGGGGGGGCGTGGTAGGCGGAGTTAAAATGCTATTTCCGGGATCCTCCCTCCTTCTACTCCAAGGGACCACCTTTTTCTTATGATTGGCAGCATGTCTACCCAGTAATCATTGGAAAAAGAACCTACGCCTTGGAAATCTCCTTACACGTGTTAGGAACGCCTCTTGCAAATAGACCAATTGCAAACTTCCGAAGGCGGGTTCTCCTATGGGAGGCGGGACAGAGTGACGGGCGTCACTTTTGACTTATGGAAACGTGGCTGCCGGTAAGTCCCCACCAATCAGAAGTGAGAAGCCCGGATGTGGGCGGAGATAAAACTTCGGCGGTTGAACCGCTCGTGAAGAGGGAATCCGTGGAGGTGAACAGCGAGTACACGGGTGCTGGTGCGGGCGCGGGCTCCGGGCGCGGGCTCCAGGCGCGGGCTCAGGCGCGGGCAGTGGGGCGTCTCCGGAGCACAGATTCCCTTCACGCAGGTGGACGCCAGAACCTATGCAAGCTGGAGATTTCACAGGGTCTTTAATGCGCCATGTTGTCGCTCGCGAGATACGCGGTTAGAACTTAGAGGTCCCTTACCGAATACTGCACTAGAGCTTGTGAGGTAGAGCTTTATTTTGTATCTTTTACACCCCGCGGAGTGCGGGGGGGGTTGTCCCCGAGATGCCGTGAGTTCTGAACTTGAGTTGGTTTGAAGGATGGGGGAAGGAGAAGTCAGGGCAGGAGTTCTCCAGGGTTGAGGCTCCAGGGTTGAGGGTGTGTTCCTACCCTATGGACAAGAGGCGTACAGTTTACTGTGTGCACACTCTGAACAAGTTATTTTACGTGAAACCACTTTTAAATCTTCCCCGCTTTCTTTGCAGTGCTAGATTAACAAACTTAGGCATGTTAGTCAGTGGTTCTGCCACTACCGCTGAGCTCAAGGATGAATTTTATGTTTTGTTTTTGAGACAGTGTCTCACTTTGTCTTTGCATAGAAATTATTGTGTGTTTGCACAAGTGTGTGATGGGGGAGATTCATCTCACAGGATGGGTGTGTAGTGACAGTTTTGGAATTTTGGTTCCTTTAAAAAGCACAGAAATACTATGAGTATGTTTTTGTTTTAATCCCAGGTGTACCAGTTTTGGATCATCCACAGCTTACTATGATTTGCCTCTTGCTCTAGCAGAAAAACGGGTTTGCCAGCAGCTGATAATGTTTTCGATTATGTGACGTTTGGAATTCTGGGAATTTTTAGAGAGCATATAAATACTAGGGCCCCCAAGAAGTATGTGTGTCTGCGTGTGTTTGTGTGTGTGTGTGTGGGGGTTGTTGGTCATTTTGGAAGGTTGGTTGTAGTTTGTTAGTAGCTGAGGTCAAAGAAGAAACAAAAGGAAAGAAATTAGATTCTGGGATTTTCCTAATTCCTCTCTCCCCTCTATCCTTGTTTCTCTCCTATCTAGTGTTAGGGGGTGAAACTGAGTGATAAAGTGGGGAGAAGAAGAACCCACAAAGTAGCAAAGACCAGCCACATGGCTGTGGAGGTCAAAGGACAACCCTGGAGTCGGATCTCTCCTTCCCTTTCTGTGGGTCCTAGGTAGGGGTCAAGCTCAGCTCTTTGGGTTTGCACAGCAGGAAGTTTTACCCATTGAGTCATCTGGACAGCCCCTCTGAGTGGACCCTGAAACATCATAACAAACCCTTCCGTGGTGCACACTTGGTGTCCCAGGACGAGGGAGCTGAGGTGGAAGGACTGGCACTTTGAGGTCAATCTGGGCTACAGAATGAGTCTGAGGCTTGCTTTCCCTACATGGGGAGACCTCATCTCAAAATGAAACAAACCAAGAGAAGAGAGTGTGGGCTCTGGTATCTGTTTGGCCAAGTTTGAGCCCTGGCATTGATTCTGGAACCCACTACTAAAATAATTATGGCTCTGAGCGAGTTCTTTAATCCTTTCATGCCCACATTTCATGTTCTGTGGAATCACTTTTTCTATACCACTTCTGTCACCCTATTAACCCAGTAGTGACTCCCAGATGTCTCTTTCCAGTATCCATCTCTGCCCTGAACTTACTGTGCTATATCCAAAGGCCAACTCTTCTTTGCTTGAAAGTCCATCTGACATGCAGTTGCCCCCAAACGATTTTTCGTTGTCCCCATTCAGCCTGTCAGACCCTTCTCTCAGGTACTTAGGGCCTGGTTCTTCATCCTTCCTTCCCTTCCCTCCCATTTAGAAAAGTGTGTACACACACACACACACACACACACACACACACACACGGTGAGACTATCTCACAAAAGTCAGGGTGAGGGTGGATGGCAGGAGGTCCTACACAGTTGGGAGAGCACTTTCTTAGCTTGCCTGAAGCTCTGGCTTTGATCCCCAGTTCTGTGAAAGCCAGGTGTGGTGATGAGCACCTGTAACCCCAGAATTTGGGAAGTGGAGGCAGAAGAATCAGGAATTCAAGCCAAGCCTGGGTTCCATGAGACCTCTTTGCAAGCCAGTAAAAAGTCAAGTCCTGTGTTCCTTTGTTAACCCCTCCTGCATCCTACCTGCTGTTCCCTAGGCCCTACCTGCTCACAGGATCTCCAGGGAGTCAGAGGTCTGTCTTCCCTCTCCACAAACCCACATCTTTGGAAATGCCTTGCTTGCACTATTGGGACCATGAAGGTCTTGGTGTCTTTCAGACATAGCAAGTACATGCTTCATACTGCTGTTTCCCCTTCCTCTTGGATTGGCTTCCCCAGACGTATGAGTGATTTCCCCATTCTTGCCAAGAGTCTCAGTCCGAGGCCTTGTTGGCAGCTTGTCTAGTCATACCTGGCTTTACTTTGTCTCTTTCAGAGCCACTACATCCTTTGTTTATTCCTTTGAATTCTCAGATCTGTCTACTAGTGTTGGGCTCCTGAAGAACACATAGGTAGAAAGTTACTATGCTAGAGTTAACTACCCTTCCTCTGGTCTCCTCTGGAAGATGGAGTAGCGAGCTGGGAGGGGCTCCTTCCTGCAAATGGAGTCAGCTAGCAATAAACTAGACACATTGTAGTGCCCCTAGGGGCCTTGGAGCTGAGACTGGAGAGTATCAGGAATGACCTTGCATGTCTTCCTAGTGCCAAGACATGATCCTTGGCGTTCCCCCATAGGTTGGCAAAAAGATCTCTGCCAGGCCAAGGTACTGAAGAGACAGGAAAAACAACAATTAGAACAGTTTATTTATTTATATTCAAGGGACTGGAGCCTTGTACAAGGTGGTAAAGTGCTGTATGACTGAGCAGTGACCCCAGTCTCTTACTTGTGGATTCTAGGCAAGCTGGCTGTCTTCTGCTGAGCCAAGCTTGCAGGCTTTGGGGATAAAGTTTATGTGGCCTCTGGGCTGTCAGCTAAGAGTGGGCGGTAAGGGGAAGTGTCAGGTACCTTATGCACTGACTAACTCAGTCCTCATGACAGTTTACAAGGTCAGTGCTCTTGTCTCAAATTTTATGTAATATCTTCTCTTCACTTTACTACAAAATGGCAAGTACCTTACCCATGGCACTTACTGGGGGTGTGGTGGTGGGGGGAGTGAGGAGCTTTGATCTGAACCTGTGAGTTCCCAGCCTGCAGCACTGATTGCAAGGTGTATGCCATGCTTGCGTCAAAGGCTGTGAGTCAGTGCTTGAAGAACCTTGGGAGGGAAGCATAGCTGGGTAGCGAGTAGGAGATGGCTGCTGTTCCTAACTGTAGGAGCCTTAGTTTCATGGTCTGTAAAATGGGGAGATGATTGTAATGTCTACCAGAGTAGTAGGATTAGGATGAGACACTGAGGTGGTGTGTTTTGGGGACACCCTGGGTGTGCTGGGAAGCTGCAGGGTACACTGTAGTGGTCTAGATTGTGGGGTGTCCTGCACTTGACTTTAGCAGAAGGCAGAGAAACCATGTTCAGTGGCCTGACTGGCTTTCATTGTTATGTCTCCTGGGGGTCAGCGGAAGGCTTCATTATATGTTGGGGAAGAACAGGGTGAAGGTGGAGCGAGCTCAAGCCAGCTCATATTCATCCAGAGTTGGGGAGAACAGTGCAGAGTGGGGTGGAGGTCAGGCTATGTGGCACGCTGTGTGACATTCTTGTGAGAACCCAGTAAGGCTAGAGATGGGCGGGGGCATAAAGTTTGTGGGCAAACAGCCTAGGGTGGGCTGTGGACAGTGATTTGCCCATGGAGATGGTGGGGTGCAGTGGTATGACAAGCCCAGGGTGCTTCAGGGTTCTCTCTTCTACTGAAATTTTGGAGCACAGTTTTGGGAGGAGAGCAGTGACCTGGAGCCCTGGGCAAGAACTTGAGATTCCCTTAGTGAAAAATGGCGAGGAACGGGCTGGAGGCTGGGAGACTGTTAGCTTGTGTGAGAGCAACCCCAAGAGGCTGTGGCAGAAGTGGGTGAAGGGGTATCCCATGTGCCTGTAGTGTTGGGGTGTAATGTCAAGGCCTGGCAAGGGTGGGACCCCCCCAACATTCCCCTCCCCAAGGATGCTGGTCAGAGTGGGATTAGAAAAGGAGCCCGGAGAGACGGGCAGGCTGGATGTCAGCGGCCAGGATGAACTTCAGGTCCTTTAGCAAATATGGTGTGAGCAGGTAGAGGGAGGGAGTCTCAAAGGAGTGAGAAGGACTGGGTCTGGATAGTCCCAAAGGTGGGGAGGGCTGCCCAGGGGAAGAGAGGCGGGAAGTGTGTGTGCCTGGGGGTCAGGGGCAGGCGTTAGGTACAGTTTGGGCAGAATTCAGGTAAAATACGGGGAAATGGAACACAGGCAGAAAGTGATGTGTGCGTGGGCTAGAACTTTGAATGTGTGGGCAGAATTGAAGCAGAATCAAAGGGGGCATGACAATTCAGACAGAACATTCAGGGGGCGGGGTCCTAGGAGAATGTGGAGGGCGATGGTAAGAAGCAATGTGCTGGTTCCCCCTCGCCTCAGACTGGGAGAATGGAATGAAGTAGGGATCGGTGCAGAGGGAGGGGCTGGCTGCCACCATGCACGGCAGCACAAGGGGCAGGAAGTGGGGGTCTGCCAGGAGGAGGAGGCGAGGAGTGCGCTGGGAGTTGGGGCTAAGGAGGGAGCTGGCCAGAGTGTAGGCCTGGTTTGTAGAATTCTTGCCTGGCGAGAGCTAAGGGACAGTTTCCAAGCCTCTAAGAGGTGAGGGGAGGGAGTGTAGGTATGCACTGAGGAGAGTGGAGTTTAGGCCTGTTATTCAGAGGGTGAGTGTCTGGGATCTAGGCGGTGGGAGTGGGCACCGGATGCTGGGCTGAGCTGTGTGACCCAGGTGGTGCAGGGTGGAGGACAAGGTCAGTTTGACAATGGGGATGAGGGAGGAGATACCTTGAGCACAGCTCCCCAGGAGTTCCACCTTCAATGCTCTAGTAAACCGTCGTCCTGCTGTGTGCTGTGGTGGCAGATGCTGCAGTTGACCGCTCTGTGGGGCTGAGGTCTCTGGGCGGAGCCAGAGATCAATACTCCAAGCTTCAGCACTTCTAGAAAGTGGAAGCATAATTGCTATGGGCTTCCAGATTTTATGAAGCCCTCCATTAAAAAACGTTCCAGAAACCAGAGTCCCAAGCCAACATGGCTGTGTGTAGTTTTTTAAACCTGTATCAAAACCAAACCAAACCAAACCAAACCAAACAATAACAGTGACGCCAAAGCCACCACCACTACCACTAAAATCCCAAAGTTGGAGCTTTGTGGTGTTGCTGCCTTTTGTTTGGGGGATAGGATTTCTATTTTGAGATCTTTTTATGCAACCCAGGCTGGCCTCAAACTTTTCGCAACATTTTCTGCCTCTGAGAGTGCTGGGATAGCTGGTGTGTCCCGTCATGCAGAGCGGAGAGTCAGTTTCTGGATCTACCGTTCATCTTAGGAGAATGAGGTCACTGTTCTGTGCCTCATTTCTTGTCTGAAAGATGAGTTTTAAAAATGATGCCTTCCTACCAGAGCTGTTAATGAGGATTAAACTGGGTAACAGCATATAAAGCACAGAGAACTGTGCTGGGTGTGGCCATGCCAGCAGTGGGAGGCTGAGAGAGGAGAAGCCTAAGTTCTGAGCCCGAGTGAAGCCAAGTCTCGAAAGACCAAAGTTGAGGTACTGGCTGGGCTCAGTGGGTAAGAGCGCTGGCTGCTTTTCCTGAGGACCTGATTCAATTCCCAGCAACTGCATGGCAGCTCACAACTGTCTATAACTCCAGTTCTGGAGGCAACACTGTCTTTTGGCGTCTGTAGACACCAGGAGTGCCTCTAGGTCTGTCTTGTCCCCATTTTCAGGGACCCTGGCCATGGACCAGCCAGCTGGCCTGCAGGTGGACTACATCTTTCGGGGTGTGGAGCATGCTGTGCGGGTGGTGGTTTCTGGGCAGGTACTGGAGCTGGAGGTGGAGGACCGGATGACAGCTGACCAGTGGCGTGGAGAGTTTGATGCCAACTGTGAGTGTGCCTGCTGGGGTGGGCTCCCCTCCCTTCCCCCTGAAGCCAGCTTCTTCCCAAAGCTGAGGCTGAGCCCGGTTGTGCTCTTAAAGAAGCAATAGGGGCTGGGCAGAGCTGGAGAACTTGAGCATATTGCCTCTGGGCTGGGCAAGTGGTCAGACTTCAGGAGGAACGTTTCTTTCCACTCAGTCATTGAAGACTTGACTCATAAGACGGGGAACTTTAAACAGTTCAGCATCTTCTGTAACATGCTGGAGTCAGCCCTCACCCAGGTAAGGACCAGCTTCAGGGACGGGAGGTTTCTGTTACCCAGAATTTGGGGTGTGAGACTGTGCATGGTTACCTGATGTATGCAGGATGCTCTGCATTCAGAGCTTCTTTTGCATGTGCCAGTGGGTCTGATTCTGGTGACAGTTACCCTCACAAAAAAAAAAAAAAAAAAAAAAAAAAAAGTATTGCTGAGGGTGTGACTCCATGGTAGAGTGTTCACTTAGCATGCTAAAGCCTCTGGTTGGCTCACCAGCACCTCATGATCTGCTATGGTGATGGATGCCTGTCATCCCAGACTTTAAGTGGTGATGGTTAGAGGATGAGAGGTTCAGGGTTTCCCTTGCCTACTAGTGAGATGGAGGCCAGCCTGGAATGCGAGAGACCCTGTCTCAAAATGATAAAACAAGGGGAGCTGGGGCGATGGCAGGTAAGAGCACTGGCTGCTCTTCCGGAGAACTGGGGTTCAGTTCCCAGCATGCACCTCAGGCAGCTCACAACTGCCTGTAACTCCTGTCTTCTGACCTCTGAGGGCACTTGCATGCACACGTACATACCCCTCCCAGAATTAAAAGTAAAATAAAGGCTAAAACCAAAAAAGAAAAGAAAAATAGATTCAGGTCCCAGGGAAATGTAAGGCAGAGAGGAAAAGCCACTCAACGGTTGATGTTCTTGTTAAGATATTGGTGAAGGCTGGCGAGCTGCCCTAGTAGGTGAAAAGGTGCAGCTTGTTGATCTGAGTTCCACCTGGTGGAGGGACAGAACAGAATACTGGAAGTTGTTCTCTGACTTCCACATGTAGCACAAGAATGCAAGCATACACTTGCATACATGCATGCAGGACACACACGCTAATACTATTAAATAAAATATGCAATAAAGTTTATGTTAGAAGTACTGTTTGTTCTTGCAGGTGTACATTTTTAGGGAGTTCATAAATTTTTTTTTTTTTTAAATTCTGAACCTTTTTTTTTTTGAGACATTGTCTCATGCCGTGTAGTCCAGGCTGCCCTAGAACTCCCTGAGCTTACCGTGTAGCCAGGGATGTCCCTGAATTCCTCATCTTCTTGCTTCTGTCTTCTGGTACCTGGAATACAGGTCAAGGCAGCATTGTGGCCTTGTGTATGTGGTGCTGGTGGCTTATATGGTGCTAGGCTGGAACCCAGGGCTTTGTGCATGACAGGTCAGCATGCTTAGCCCCAGCCACAGTATTTTGGAGAAGTGGCTCAATGGTTAAGAGAACTTCTTGCTCTTGCAAAGAGCACAGGTTGATCCCCAGCACCCACACAGGGTGGCTTACAATAGTCTAAATAACAGTCAGTAAACGGCCTGATGTGGGTGCTGGGACTCGAACTCGGGTCCTGCAGAAGCACAGCACAACTCTTAACCTTTGAGCCATCATCCCTCCAGTCCCCTGACTATGTTGGTGTGGAGTGCTTGCCTGCACTGACATGCTAATGTGCACAGGTATAGCTTCTGGGAAGTTAGTTGCCGGGGCCATTGGCCGCCTTATCGGGTGGCTTTTATTGCATGTCATCTCAGCCCAGGGAAGGTAGAGGCAGGAGGATCAGAAGGCCATCCTTAGCTACAAAGTGAGTTCAAGGCCAGCCTGGGTTACATGTGACCCCATCTCCCCCAAACTAGAAAACACCTCAACCCCAAACCACACAAAACCCTACTGATGAGTCTTGCCCTTTCCGTGGGTGTGTCATCTGTACTGTGCCATAATGCTGTGTGGGAAGTGGCTATTCGTGACTTACTTAGAAAACCTGAATATTGGCCCATTTCATCCATTGCTGCCACTGGCTTGATTCCCTTCTTCCCAACCCCCTTCTCTCTATTCCTCCTTCCTTTTTTCTTTTTTTCTTGCCTTTTTCTTTCCCTTTCCTTTCTCTCATTTCATGTAGCTCAGGCTGGCCTTAAACTTGCTATGTGGCTGAGGATAGCCTTGAACCCCTTCTTGATCCTCATACCTCCACTGCCCCAGTGCTGAGAAGACAGGCATGTGCACCATGCCTGGGCTTTGGCTGAATTTCTGCTAAGGGGTCAGTACTCACCAATACTTTGTATTCGTTCATGTGGCTGTGCACAGCAGGAAGGGCATGTGTTGTTTCTCTTAGGAAAACGGTTGGCCTTGTGACCCTGCATGTGTCTGAGAGCTCTACAGACTCGCAGGTGTGAGGTGCTTTGGTACTTAGGTTCTCTCCAGTGTATCCCTCCAGTCAGGTCTGCCTGCCTGTCACTGGTCAGTGTCATGCCCACCAGCCTCCTTGTCAGGAAGCTCAGGCCCCCTGGGACCTGGCACAGTGTCTGGGAGGGTGGCTGTGGTCCCAGGGTGGCTATGAATGTCCTTGGCATCTCTCCTCCTCCTCCTCTTCCTCTCCCACAGAGCAGTGAGTCTGTCACCCTGGACCTGCTCACTTACACAGACCTGGAGTCTCTGCGCAGCCGCAAGCTAGGGGGCCGCCCGGGTGCCTTGGCCTCCAGGTCGGCCCAGCTGAACTCCAAGCGCTACCTCATCCTCATCTATTCCGTGGAGTTTGACAGGTGGGCACCGGGGCTGGCTCAGGGCCCGGATTGGCAGCAGGGGTGGGAATGATTTTACTTCACCTGCAGAGTCTGTGGGCTTTGTGTCATTTTACTGTTGTGACTGGCCGCAGGTGACAGAATGGTCAGTGCTGTTTCCTTAGGATATGCAGTTGAACATGCCTTGCACATGGTAGGCAAGTGCTCTCTGCCCCAGCTACATCCTCAAGTGCTTTAAACACAATCATTTACCACACAGCTACCCAAATTGCAGCTCAGATTCCTGTTAGGGACGGGAAATCTTTCTGTTTTGTTCTTTGTGTATTTGAAGAAGGGACAGGGCTGTATAAGCCCTCGGCAGACTACTCACAGTTGGCTTAGAGGTGGTCGTATCCTGGGAACTGGACCCAGACCTCTGTAAGAGCAGCCAGTGCTCATGACTGCTGAGCCATCTCTCAAGCCCCTTCCCTTTAAAAAGTTTTAAAAATCCTTATTTTATGTGTATGGATGTTTTGCCTGTACATATGTCTGTATACCACCAGCTCGTAGTACCTGCAGAGGCCAGAAGAGGATATTACATCTTCTGGGACTAGAGTTAAGTTGTGGGTGCTGGGAGTGGAACTTGGGTCCTCTGCAAGAACAGCAAGTATTTTAAACATTGAGCTATCTCTCCAGTCATTCTGTGCCTCCTACCTTTATTTATTTATGTATGTATGTATTTATTTATTTATTTATTTATTCCCATCTTTATTTTTGAAGAGAGATTCTTGCTATGTAGCCCAGCTTGGCCTCAAACTCATGGCATTCCTCCAGCTTCAGCCTCCTGAGAGCTTGGATTACAGGCTGGAGCAAGCACACCTAGCCAGGAATGGTTCTTGAGCAGCTGGGCAACAGGGTCTGTGCGTCCTGGTGCCTGGGCTAGTGACTGGGAAGTTGGCAATCCCATAGGGTCTGCATCGTGGGGCCCCACCTGAGGGCATCCTGACATTGCCCTGGCTCAGGGCTGACTCAGCTCAGGCCAGCTAGTGTCTTCTTGGGAGAGGCTGGGTTGTCCTGTGTTTGAAGATAGCTCTTCCTGTAGAGATCATGTGACAGTGCCTTCCCTGCAGGCATGACAGGACAGTCAGGCAGCACTGTCCAGCCAGGTGTCCTCAGAATCCTGGAGGCAGAAGCTCAGAGGCACCAGAGCTTAAATGACTTGGTACAATGGTGTGTGGGACAAAGAACCTAGAATCAACCACTTTCCCAGCACTCAGGAGGAAGAGGCTGGTAGATCTCTTAAGTCTGAGGCCAGCCTGGTCTATGTAGAGTTCCAGGACAGCCAGGGTTACACAGACTGTGTCTCAGGAACCCAAACAAGCAAAACCTTCAAAACAAAACACCAAGAATACAAGCTCTCGGGGACTGCGAATGCTTGTGTTTTTTGACTCACAGACCTGTGCTTTCGGGTGAGTGGATCTTGGCCTCTGAGATGCCACGGTTCTGATCCCCTCTCTCAGGATTCACTACCCGCTGCCCCTCCCGTACCAGGGCAAGCCTGACCCGGTGGTCCTGCAGGGCATCATCCGCTCACTGAAGGAGGAGTTGGGTCGCCTTCGGGGGCTAAATGACGGCCAGGATGCTCGGGAGACAGAGATCTGGCACCTGAGGGAGCAGTGAGTCTGGGGTGTGTGTGGTGGATTGGGGTGTGGTGGACGGGACAGGCACTGCCCATCATCTGTTTCCTTGGGAACACTGGCCCTCTTCCTTCTGAGCCCTGTCTCTCTCTGCCTTTTGTTGGGTGCTGGGGATTCAGCACGGATTGACAGCCCTGGCTCTGTCTTCCTGGGCCCCTAGGCCAGTAAGGGAGATGTGCAGATGAAGATTCAGCATATGGGGAGCAGGAAGGGGGGGGGGTCCCAGAAAGAGGTATGGAAGCAGAAGCATCATCAGCAAAGGTGACGTAAGCCGGGCTGGAAGGGTGGGCTGAATAGCCTTCACCGTGACCTCTTGGTGTTGCCTGGCTCTCTGCCTGGGGTACCTAGCCCAGTGGGAATGGATGTTAACAATAACCACGTGAACATGTTGTTAGATGGGGGGGGGGCACAGAGGAAGCTGTGACCAGGACCTGTTAGGTCTTGAGGTGCGTTAGGTGAGGAGTTAGGAAGACTGTGCTAAGTTGAGGAGGCAGCATGTGCAGAGTCCTCCGGGCCGGTGGGACAGTGGTGAGAGCAGGAAGAGATTGGAGGCTTCCGCCACACTTACCGACTCCTGCTGCGTTCTGTCATCTCCAGGCAAGGGTTCGGTCTCCACCTGGGAATGGCCAGTTCTTTAAGGAGGACTAGTGACGTTAAAAGAAGTCTGTCCATTGTGTATGATGTGCATGATGTATGTTTTGGGGTACACATACCATGGATGTGTATGGAGTCAGTTTTCTCCTGTATTTACATGGCTTCCAGGGGTCAAATTCAGGTCACCAGGCATGCATCACGGACCAGCAAGCACACTGAGCCATCTTGCGGGTCCCCCTTTTTCTTTCTTTAGAGACAAGGTCTTAGGTATTCAAGACTGGCCTCAAGCTCTCTGTAGTCAAGGATGACTTTGAATTCCTGATTGGCCTGGTTAATGTAGCGTTGGGTTCCAACCCAGAGCATCATGTGTGTTAGCTAACCAAGGCACGGTTCTGTCCCTGTATGATTCTTTGTAGGATGTATGTATGTTATTATGTGTCTGTGTGAGGATTTGTGCACATGTGTGCATCCATGGAATTCAGAAAGTGGCTATCCTCACAGGAGCCCTATGAGACAGACATTGCTGTCATCACCATGTTCAGAGATGCTAGGGGACTTTCACAGGACACACAGCAAATTATATGGCCAGGCTATGCCTCGGATGCAGCCAGAATTATGGCACTGTTGGCACATAGGTGCTAGGCCAGACTGAGTGGCAAATGCTGCCAGAGAGGAATGGCCTTCTCTTGAGGGTGGGGATGTGCAGGGTAGCAGGCCCCATGGGTGCTGCTGATCAGAGGTGAGGTGGAGGAAGGACACAGTGGGAGGCTGGGGCCTCATCCTCCCTCCGGCCACACCTGTATGCACCTCCCAAATTGGCTACAAGGTTATGACCTCTGCCCATCCACAGTACTGGAGAGGGCACCTTGAAGTCTCTGAGCTGGTGGTGTCCCCCGCTGTCCTGTTCTGACTCTGCCAGTTCCTCTTTCTCTTGGAACCCAAGGCTTGCTACACAGACGAGGCTTACCTTGATCTGTTGGCTCTGTTCCCTCTGCTCTGAGTGCGTGTGTTACCACCTCCCCACAAGGAACTTCTCAGGAGGAAGCTGCCCCACACGGGGGGTCATCCAGGCAGAAGGTAGAAGGGTCACGTTGACAAGTGCCCATTCTACAGAGGCTGGTAGGAAGAGAATGGTGGAGAATGGGGGTTACAGGTCTGCCTTGCCCAATGTGTGTGCATTGTATATGTGCACACGTGTGTATGTGTGTGTGTGCACATGTGTGTGTGTGTGTGTGTGTGTGTGTGTGTGTATACATACCTACTTTAAAAACTATTTTTATGTGTTTGCTAGTTAGGCAAGGCTATCCCTGACTCTGCCTCCCAAGTACTGAGATTATAGGTGTCCACCATGTTTTGCTCTTCTCTCGTTCCCCTCCTTCTGGCCTTGTACGAGACAGGGTCTCTCTGTGTAGCCCTGGCTGGTCTGGAACTTGCTCTGTAAACCAGGCTGTCCTTGAACTCAGAGGCCCACCTGCCTCTGCCTCCCAAGTGCTGTGATCAGAGGTGTACTGGGCCGCCACATTTTGTCACTTCTTGAGGCTGTTGGCTAGACTGATGTCTTATTAGGGGATGATCTAAGTTTGAGTCTCTCATTCTTGTTGGCTGGAGTAAAGAAGCATGTCCCTGAGGTGTGTTTCCCTAGGAGAGATCACCGTTGAGTCCTTTTGCTCATCTCTGACAGAACATAGAGTTGGCTTCCATTCTCCACAGACAGGTAGCTTAAAACACTGGAGTAGGTTGCTGGTCATGGTGGCACACATACCTTTAATTTTAGTACTGTGGATGCAGAGGCAGGCGATGGATCTCCGTGAGTTCTAGGCCAGCTTGGTCTACAGAGAGTTCAGGACAGCCAGGGCTACACAGAGAAACCCTATTTTGAAAGACAATGCAAAACAACACCAACAACAAAACAAACCAAAAAACCCCCAAACCAACGAACAACAACAACAACAACAACAAAAACAAAACATTGGACTGGGTCAGTGAGATAGCTATTCCTGTAAAGGTGCTTGCCATTAAGCCTGCTACTTTGAGTTCAGTCTCTGGGACCCACGTGGTAGACGGGGAGAACCAATTCCCACTCATTGCCCTCTGTTCCGCATGAACGCTCGGACACGTGGGTGTGTCTTGTGCATACACACAAATAAACGCAATAAAAATAAAACCAAATGAAAAACCACTGCAAGTGTATTCTGTCTCCCTCTGGAGGCAGGTGTCTGAAATGGTGTTCACTGGGCTGCAGCGCAGGCATCAGTGGGCCATCCTCCCGTAGGCCCTTGGGGGAATACCTTTCTTGCCTCTCCAACACCTGGGAGCTGTTCTTTGGCTTAGGTCCTAGCACTCTGGTCTGAGCCTCTGTGGTCACATTCCCCTCCCCTCTTCTGTATCTAATCTCAGGTGGTGATCTGCCCTGGTAATTCAGGAGAGTCCTTTCCTCTCACCATTCATATCAGATCTATAAAAGTCACTTGTTGCCAAATAGTGGAATGTTCCCAGGTTCCAGGAGAAGACCTGGATATCTTTGGGCATGTTGCAGGGGGTGCAGGGAGGCAGTATCCAGCTCATAGATGTGACCTAACACATCCCTTGCAGTGGATTTTGATTTCATGTTGGTGTTGTCTTTGCCCAGGTGGACCTGTTCTTGTTGGGTTCTATATCCTTTTGGAAGAGCCCCAGGAATCTTTTCTTTTGTTTTTTAAGTCCCAGACATAGGACCCAGACCTTGTGCATGTTAGGCGAGTGTTCCACCACTGACTGATCTATACCCATACTGGGGGATCTAGGTAGGGGATCTATCACTGAGCCACGCCAGCAGCCCCTCACTGGGGGATTCTAGGCAGGGGCTCTACCACTGAGCCACGCCCCCAGCCCCTCCCTGGGGGATTCTAGGCAGGGGCTCTACCACTATTTTTCCAATATATTTTATTTATTTTATCAGGAGGTAATGTTAACATGATCTGTTGTTACATTTATAATTTTTTTTAGTAGAAAGAGCCAGAAGGCAAGTACAGTCTTAGAAAAAGAATATACTGTCTTTACTTTTTCCTTGACTTTACACCCATTTTTTTGAGATGCAGAAAAATCATAGTTTCCAAGGAGAGTAACAGTTTTTTAAATGATTATTTTTATCTTATGAGCATTGGTGTTTTGCCGGCATGCCTTTCTGTGAAGGTGTCAGATCCCCTGGAACTGGAGTTACAAGACAGTTGTGAGTTCCATGACAGTGCTGGGAAATGAACCCGGGTCTTCTGAAAGAGCAGCCAAAGCTGTTAACTGTTGAGCCAGCTCTTCAGCCCCAATAACAATTATTTTCTTTATCCTGAACAATAACAAGGCAATCACTAATGAGACTTTGGAGGAAAGGTTAGATTTCTTTGCAGCCCTGAATTCCTTTGGCCCTGAATCTGTGTATCTCACTTGCTAAAACCCTGTATTCTAGTCACATCATATAATTCTGCAGTGTCATTCTTCCTTTGATGTACTTTTGTTTCTTGGAGCCTGTTGATTGTCCTTCCCCGAAACCCTGGTGATAGTTCCTGAGGCAGGAGGATTGCTTGAACTCAGAAATTCAAGATCAGCCTGAGCAATATAGCCAGAGCCTACATAACGTATTTTTATAGTTCCAGAGTCAAGGGGTGCATCCGGAGAGGCCCAGTTTATCTGTTCCTTCCCTTTCCCCATAGGCAGCCTCTTTTCTGTTCGAAAGTTTTTCATTTATGTTTTTAAAAACACGAACAAACTCAGATCATTTTTATCCGCTCCCATTTCTTTTTACAAAAGAGGACTTGGAACATACATCCTGCACTGTGTAAAATAGTGAATATCAGCTCTCCTTCCTTTTCATGGAGGCACTTTACTATGGATGCGCAGGGAGATTCAACTAGCTCTGTCCATGGACACTTGGTTACCTTCGCTTCTTGCTGTTTATAAGCAGCAGGGAAGGAAATGTATGTGGCATTTTCTTAAGGGTCTTTGAGCAGGGTAGCGACCTAATCAGTTGGGTTTGGCTGCCAAATAAGATGATCTGGCTGGGAAAGGCTTGGAGGTGGGAACAAAGTCAGTTGGGCTAGGCTTGCTGCAGGCATCTTTTAGCGAGGTCACCATGTCACTGGGGCAGATGTGCCTGCCCCGTGGATGGATGGAAGTGAAATGGCTTCAGCATCCTTCTTGCTTCGGAGGGAGTTGACAGGAACAGACAGACCCCTCCCCGGGGAGTGGATTCCTTCGTCTTGGGGAGCCTTGGGGATTGTCATCTGTGGAGCAGCGGGCAGGGACTCTCAGAGTGTTCAGTTCTCTTCTCCGCCTCGCAGGGTGACCCGCTTGGCGTCCGAGAAGCGGGAGCTGGAGGCACAGCTGGGCCGTTCCCGAGAGGAGGCTCTGGCGGGGCGGGCAGCTCGCCAGGAGGCCGAGTCGTTGCGCGGGCTGGTGAGGGGCCTAGAGCTGGAGTTACGGCAGGAGCGTGGCCTCGGGGGTCGGGCCACTGGCCGCCGCAGCCAGGATTGTCGCCGTCTGGCTAAGGAGGTGAGGGGGCGGATGCGGGAGGGGGCGCTGCGGTGGACCTCGGCCTGCTCTGGACCTCGGTGGTCCCTGTTTCCCTCCGCAGCTCGAGGAGGTGAAGGCATCAGAGCGCAGTCTGCGCGCAAGGCTCAAGACACTGAACAGCGAGCTGGCCCTGTACAGAAGGGGGTGAGAGGCGTGGCCTGTGGGGAGGTGGGGCTAGAGGAGGGGTGGAGTGAGAAGATGGCTTTGGGAGGTGGGGGGTGTAGGGTGGAGCCTGAGGGCCTAGAGATCCCAGAGGTAAGACTCTGGGAGCTAACTGCTGACCTTGATTGGCATAGGAAGGGCTTCCAGGGAGCTGTGAGGGAAGGAAGACCTCAAGGAGGGGACTGGCGAAGGTGTTAGGATGTAGGGAAGTGCCAGGTCCTGGAAAAGGACTTGGAGAAGGTGTGGTTTAGAAAGGTATCTGTGAACTGGGCGTTAACATTTGGGGAGATAGAATGTGGGCGCCTCAGGGTACAGAGGAGGTGCCTGTGACACCAGAGTGGGAGTAGGCTAGTGGATGCGAAGCTGACAGTGGACTCCGTGCTCCCAGGAGACGCACCTTGCCAGCGCCGGCTGCAGCTAGGGAGGATCGAGTTTCATCCTCTCGGGAGCGCTCTACATCTCGTGGTCGCGCGGCCACTCGCTCCTCGTCGCGGGAGAGCGGCCGTGGGGCCCGGGGTCGCGGCCGGCCGGCACACCCCTCGCCCTCACCCACAGGTCAGTGACCGCCCCCCCTTTGCTGTGGGGGAGGGGAAATGGTCTAGGGACGGCAGGTGCGGGCCGGTTTGTAAGCCAGCATCCCTACACTGTCTAGGTAGTCGTGCGCCCCGTTTTGACCCCACGGCCTTTGTGAAAGCCAAGGAGAAGAAGCAGAGAGAGATCAGGATGAAGTAAGTCAGCGCCAATTTTCCACCTGTGCTGGGTCCTTACCGCACTTCTTCCCACCTGTCACCAACCTGTAGGTAAACCTTGTCTCCTCTTCTCTGCGCTCCCACTTATCTACCCCCTCCACCTCCTTTCCTCCATTTTCCGTACCGAGCTAACCTCTCGGGTCACCTAACTCTGCTTTCCATCTCCTCCCTTGGTCGTGCTCTCTTTCCTTGTCCCTGTTACCCCTGCACCGCGATTCAAGACCCTTCTCGTGGCCCCGCCCCCTCCTGACCTCGCTTTGTTCTCCTAACCCCTCAGATGCACTGCTCGTTTTTTTTCCCACCCTCACATATCAACGGCTCCAAGTGACCTCTGGCTGGCCACCGACCCTGGCTGTGGCTGGTTCCAGTCCCCGCAGTAGTTGGCGCACATTCCTAGTCTCTCGTTTTCTAGGCAGCAGCAGCAGCAGCGGAACCGAATGGGCAGTGGAGGAAGCGGGGACGGCCCGTCCGTTTCATGGTCTCACCAGACTCGGCCCGCTGCTGCTCTGACCGGCCGAGGGGACGCAGCTAACCGCTCCCGGAACCGCAGCTCCTCTGGTAACCAGCTAGGAGGGCAGTGTGGCGGGCTGCGGGCGGTGGGCGGGCCGTGTGGTCTCTGGGCCTCACGCCCTTCGTCTCCCCCTAGTGGACAGTTTCCGCAGCCGCTGCTCGTCAGTCAGCTCCTGCAGCGAGCTGGAGGATTTCTCCCAGGCAATTTCCAGAAGGTAATGCTTGGACTGGGGGCAAGAACACTTTGGAAAGGGTACCTGGGGAGAGTGGAAGCAATCTTTTTCAGGGAAATTAGGTGATGGAGGTTGGAGGTCTTAAAACCACGAAGTAGGTCAGGAGGGAGGTACCGAAGATGCTCTGTGGTCCTTGATTGCCTTCTTTTTCTAGTCGTCGCTGCTGTGGCCGAGGGAAACCACCCAGTCCCACAGCCTGGAGCGGGTCCAAGACGGTGAGGCTCATTCCCAGGCTGGGAGATGGAGAGGGTAGTATTAAGCCACGGAAGATGAGCCATCATTTATATTCTTTGATTCTCTGTCCTGGGGATACCGGCTTGTAGAGGGGACTCTAGAATGACCCTTGAAGCAGGGTGTTTGGGGGCCCTAGTAGGCAAAATCTTAGTGGCCACAGTATGTTGTTTTAAGTTTTGGATGAGGATGTGGCTCAGTTGGTAGAATATCCCTCTAGCTAAAGGTTCTGGGTTCCATGTAAAGTGGGGATAATGGTCAGCATTGTCAGGGTTGTCAAACCAGCACTCAGGAGATGGAGGCAGGAGGATTCAAAGTTTAAAATCAGCTTTGGTTACAGAGTGAGTTTGAGGCCCACGTGAGGTACATGAGTTCTTGTGTCAGAAGAAAAAAAAGGGAAAATATTCTTGTCTCAAATGATGCCAGATCCTCCAGCCTGGCCCCACTTCTGTGGCGACTCAGGAAGCCTGGTTAGCGTCTCTGTGCCTCAGGCTTTCCAGTTCATCCGTTGGATGGCTCTTGTGTCAGAAGGAGGCTCTTGATACAGCGTCAACCTGTAGATCCTCAGATTCGGAATTCCCTGTGGGACTTGGGAGATAGGAGTAGAAGGGGGGTTGCCTGACCCCTTCCCTGCCTCTCGCCACCAGAAGTCTACCACTCGAGAACGCAATAGTCACCAGAGACACTTGGCCAGCTCTGGGGGCTGGGTCCCGATGAAAGGTGAGCCCAGGGTGTCCTGTATTTGTCCCTCCTGTCCCTTATCCTAGAACCCTTTGGGGGTGATAACAAGGGCAGTTTATTTGTCCTTGCTGCACTGCCCTTCATGGTCCCCACCCCAACCTTTGTTTTCACAGAGTACAGTTCCGACTACCAGGGAGCTGACATGGCTGAAATAGATGCCCGCCTGAAGGCTTTGCAGGAATACATGAACCGGTTGGACACACGGTCATGACCCTGGAGACATGGTACCCTGATTTTTCAGTCTACCATCAGTGGGTCTGATGTGGAGGCAGCACCCCTCCATGTTCCACGTCTCCAGGTGTTCCTGGAGTTTCAGGTGTGTGAGACCCTGACTCCCCCCTCTCCCAGTAATGCATTCTAGGAGAAGAGGGTGTGTATTTTGTAAATAAATATGGTTGTTCTTGGGACCCCTAGCCTGTGATTCAAGGGTAAGCCTGGAGTAGGCAGAAGAGAGGATGGAGTTGACCTGGAGGCAGGAGGGCAGCAGTGAGCCCTGTGTCTCCAGAGGACTCTGAGCAGAATTAGCTGTGCCTGGCTGTATGGCGGGGGAGTGGGGTCTTGCAGCATGGCCCATATTGTCTGTTTCTTTTGAGCTGCTGTGGGTGACATTGGGACCTGCCTGGCACTGATTTCTGGGCTTTCACCCGAGACCCCTAGGTTCTAAGCTGCGATGTTGGTTGTGAGCCAAGCTCTCTGGGGTCTTAGTTCAGCATTGGGCTGTTGGGTTTTCCCACACACTGAGAATGGCTGAGCAGGAGGGATAGCCGAGATGTGTGCAGAGACAGTGACAGGGCCGTGGCCGAGCTTCACCGGAGCATGCTTGGTGCTGAGTCTTTATTGGGGTCACTGGGAAGGAACAGGTGGCAGGGGGGATTTCAGGGTGGGGACTCGGCAAGGTCTCAAGGTCTCACTCTCGATAGTGATCCCAGCGTTGGATGATCTCATAGAGCTGGTCACCTGGAGAGAGAGTGCTTTGCACATCCCGGTGTCCTTTGACCTCATAGTTGGATCTCAGGTAGCCCTGAGACACCCCACATTTCAGAAGATTTAGGGCAGCACGGACGGCCCGCTTTGCGGGTACCCGGTCTGCAAGAGGAGGGACAAGACACAGAAAGTTAGATAGGCTTTCTTGAAAGGCAGGGAGGTGTGGGTAAACTGCTCTCTGTGTCAGCTTCCTCATCTGTGAGGAGAAAATCAAGCATCTACCTATAGGGCTGTGGGAGATAAATGGTTAACTGTCAATAACCCACAAAAGGGAGCTTAGCACAGGGGGACAAGCGGCCCTATCAAATCAGCCAGTTAATTCCTTAGGTACCTAAGACGTGTTTCGTAGGTGACAGCTGATTGTTGGGATAAGACCCAGCAGCCTGGGAGCAGAGGAGGGCCAGGGTCAAGTGACAATCATAACAGGCAGTGCCCAGGCTGGCCAGGGACTCGGGTGGAGCTGAAAGGGATCAGTTTGAGCTGATACGTCACCGGCTGCAAGGGCCTGAGATCAAGGTTTGCACCATGTGATTTGAACCCAGGGCCTGTGCACGCTAGGCAGGAATGCTGTCAGCTGAGCTACAGGTACTACCATATTTTCTTTTGTTGGGACAGGGTCTTAAACTCCCAGTCCTTTTGTCTCCACCTGAGGAGTGCTGGTATCTCGCCGGTACACTGCTGTGCTTGGCTCCCCCAACCCCAGTTTAGTGCAGGTCAGCTACTCCCAGCATAGGGTCTAAATGACCCCATTATCCAAAGAGAAAGATGAGGTTACAGGACTTGAACTCTCTTATTAGAGATGTGAGCATATAGGTGGCAGAGCCTGTAGCCCCCTTTACTCCCTACACCACCATCCCCTGTGTAGGAGACTGAGTACTTACCCATGAAGTTACCCATGAAGGTGATGCCGATAGACATGGGATTCCAGGTGGGCCCTGTGTGGTCACCCTTGATGGTCCAGCCTCGGCCTTCATACACATGACCATCCTCTCCAATGAGGAAGCTGTGAAGGAGGGGCGGAGCTTGATAAGGGTAGGAGGGGCTTGACCATCCTTCACTATCTTCTACAGTATTAAAGCAACCACACTCCTCTGCTGCACCTCTGCGCCTTGCCAAGTGTCTTTGTAGGAACTGGTGAGCTGCTACCCCCAACTTACATAGAATCCGAGAGGTTCAAAGTCATACAGAAATCATATCATTAACCACACAGCAAACCACTGCCTATGGGTCAGGTTGGGGTTAATTGTTTCTTCCTGTCTCCCCATGCCTGTGAACTCACCACACCCCACATCAAGCCTCTGAGGTTGGTATTGCTGCCTTCTTGCAGGAAGTCACAGGCTCAGACGGCTCTGCCCCTCGGAAGTCTGTCCTTGGGCCAGTGAGATGGCTCATCTAGTAAAGGCCCTTTACTAAACTTGACAACTGAGTTCTATCTCTGGGACCCGTCAGAAGCCATCTAGGAAAGGCTTAGGGTAGCAGGTAACTTTGCTGGAAGTGGCCCACCATTTTTTGCATGCCTTAATATGGGTGAGCTCTTGAGAGGTGAGGCCCCAACAGACTTCAACCCAGGATTGCTTCTTGCAGCTGCTATGCCTTTCCTGTCATGGTCGCATAGCCTAAGGATTCCTGGGCAGCATCCTCCCGTATTGGGCAGATTTCTTGCAGATCAACATGGAGATGAACTTTCATGAATTAATGTTGTTGAGATGAATTACTGATTTTATAGAATTCCTGATTTAACTCATATAACTTTAGGAAGAAAGCTTAAGGAGGTGATTTTAGTTGTTTGGCCAGAACGATGTACTACAGTTAGACTAAAGAACAGAACGTGCCCCTCCTCATAGACTAGTAAGCGAAGGCTGTGTGAGGAGGAGCACAACGAGCTCTCGTAGATTACACTAAGAAGAGGAATGACTTGGGACAGGTTTATGATCAAGGAAAAACAGTCGTTCTAGGTCAGGTTCAAGGATGAGGCCACAGGTGTGCACCAGAGTAAAACAAGGCCATGTGAAACTGTGGCTTTGAACTCACAATGAGATTACAGATAAAACACTGCTGTGAGCTTAATGTCAGCATCCTTCTGTAACTCCCCTTCTGTGTAACATTTTATCTATGAGGTAAGTTTCTAAGAACTTTTGTCTATAAAAAGGTCAGAGAAAAGAAATAAAGTGTGGCTTGGGAGATTCTGCCCCATCCATCCATCCATCCATCCATCCATCCATCCATCCGTCTTATCTGTCTGTCCGTCCATCCAAATGTATGTGCGTGGCATTTGGGGCTCAGCCTCTTCCACCAAATGTATATATTGTATGTATCTGTTGTCTATATGTTGTGTGTAGGTGTATGTGAATGTAGGTAAGCATGCATAAATCCTTATGGAGTTGATTGAGACAGGTGGTCGGGCCTGACCTGTGTGTGTGTGTGTGTGTGTGTGTGTATTTGCCTGTGTAAAGGATTTTATTTCTATTCTTTCTTTTCTCCCTGGTTCATAAAGAATGAATCCCAAACCTCTTGTCTAGCCAGCAAGAGGTCCTTGAGCCAGAGAGGAAAGAAGCCAGCGCTTATTAAAGCACAAAGAATAAGATTCTAAGGCCAGGGATCAGGTGTCTTTAGTCTTCATTCAATGCTGTGTCCCACCCAGTACAGTTGTTCTCCTAAGATTGGGTCAGGCCCCCAGCAGGGACCAACATTCCACAGGAGTGAACTGGGGGCTGATTCCTGCAGGTTGTCTTCTGACGTCCACACAAACATTGTGCCCTGTGTCTGCCCCCAGCCAAATAAGTGTAAAGGAGTGAGTATCCAAGGATGTCTGTCTGCTTTGGTCCAGCCTGCCTCTGCTCTTGGAGTCCTCTCAGGCATGTGGACTAAAGGTGGAGGCTGCATCTCTCTGGAGGTTTCCAGTCCTAGCACGGTAGCAGATCTGTGAATCCTACTCATTAACCAAGTCTCAACTGAGAACCACCCCGGTGGGGCACCTTGGAGCTAGATCAGCAGCCTCAAGTTGGACAGTAGAGGTACCGATGAGGCAGAGGACACTGCGACTTGGAATCTAAGCCCCTGTCTGCCACTTAGGAAGCCAGCTCACAGCCTGCCTCACAGGGGACTGGATCAAGACGGGCCATGGGCACCCAGACCCAATCTTAATAAGCCTGGTGTCCTGGCAAGCCATGGGGCTTTTTCTGGAAGAATAGTGGAAACTTTGGTGTGTGTGAGGCGAACCTGTCTTCAGCACAGGGACAAAAGTCCTGTCACTTTAGAGAGACCCCAGATCCACCAGCAGGGAAGCCATTGGCTGACTCCTGCATCCCCTTTGCATTACGATGTCCTGACTTTTACACCGCCTGGCCTTGGGTGGAGGCATTGTGTGATTTTACAGGGATGCCTGCAAACTGCAGCCACCATCATAAGAGGCATAGTGAAGAGCGTCATATAGGGGCTGGAGAGATGGCTCAGTGGTTAAGGGTGCTCACTGCTCTTGCAGAAGACCCGGGTTCGAGTCCCAGGACCCACATGGTGGCTCACAACTTGTAATTCAACTTCAAGGGGATCCAGTGCCCTCTTCTGACCTCTAGGGCTCTTGCACACACGTGCTGTATAGACATACACTGATGTGTACACATGCCCACATACACAAAGAGAAACATGCACACACACAAATATCTAGATAGAATAAACCCAAATACAGGCAAGGAAAGTGAGGCCAAGGCTATGGCCCCAGTTCAGTCTTCCCTACACCCCACTTCAATCCAGGGAAGGAACTTTGATGTTAGAGCCTTAGAATGATTAAAATCTCGGGTGGGATGTCCTTAAGACATCTTTTAGGCTTCTGACCCTCTGGTGTTTGGCAGAGCAGTCTGATGGTCTGGGAACCAGCATTTCCAGTAAATTCTGCAGGTGCTTGGCTTTTAGCTCAGCCTTTGAAGTCATAGGGTTCAAATATTCCTATTGGAAACAGGCCCAGGAATGACAGCCCAGCCTGTGACACTGAAAAGCAGGTGTGACAGATGGCTGTGTTCCTCCGGGTCCATCTAAGCAGACCTTTGTGGCCAGCCAGTGGGAGCCTAACACCTGGGTCAATCTATGCCTGTCCCTGACCCAGAACCTTCTGTGGATACTGTTTGACCTTAGTCCTCACCATGACCTTTGAGTCCCTCCCCCACCTCCATCCACCCTTATTGGAGATAAGATCTTGCTGTGAAGAAGCCCAGGCTGGCCTTGACCTCACAGCAATCCTCTTTCGTCAGCCTCCGGACTGCTGGGATTACAGGCGTCAATACCATGTCTAGCACAGGAAGCCTTACACCGCCCCCCATACCTCTTTTTAAAGTAAGTGTGTGTGTGTGTGTGTGTGTGTGTGAGAGAGAGATAGAGAGAGAGAGATATGCATGCGTGTGATGTCTGTGTAGGTGTCAGGACACTATCAGTCCATCAATAGTTGGTCTTCTCCTTGCTAGCGCCTTTACATGCCAAACTAGAAGTCCTTTCTCCGTGGGTTCCTCGTCCATCCCAAACCCATCCTTTTCTGTCTTTATGCACACAAGGCTATAGTGATATGCTTCGAGCAATGTCCTCATCTAGAACTCTGCCATACAGGAGACATTAGCCCGTAGATTTGGGGCTCCTGCCATATGCTAGCCAGTTTCCTGGGTATTTAGTATTAGGGGCCATAATACCATTGGCCTTTGCAGAACAGGAAGCTGAGCTTGGAGCATCTGTTTCCCTGGTCCTGCCTTGCATCTCAGGCAGCAATTTTCCCATCGATGCCAGAACTTGATGCAAGGCTCAGTTAGTCTGGTGTTGTCCTGGCAAGGCCTGGGCCTTTAGGAAAGATATGTATGGAAGTAGAGCAGGGGACACCTTGTGTGTGAAGCAAAGCCTGTCCCCTCTTCAGGGGAGAAAGCCTCAGCACCCAAAGGAGACAGCAGATCGAGCACCAGGAGGATTGGAAGGTGTGGCTGACCTCCTCCAGCCCACGCCATACTCACTTGTAGCCCACGTCGCACCAGCCCAGATCTTTCATTTGGTAAGACTGCACATTGCGGGCCTGCTGCTCACAGGAGTCCGGGCTGTTGCAGAAGCTACCCGCTGTGTGTGAGATCACCACATAGCGAACTGGGTGCCTCAAGGGCTTAGAACACTCAGATGGCAGGGCCTTCCACTCACTGCGGGGCACGATGAAACTGCAGGAGGCTGCCAGGCCCAGGAGGGCTAGGAGAACACCAGCAAACAACATGCTGGTTGTGACGCACAGGACTGCAGGGCCGTGTATGAGTCAGGCTCTGGCCCTGTGCACTTTATCTTCTGGGCAGGGTGGGGGTTGCTGGCAGAGGAAGGGCTTGCTTCACATCTGGGCGGGACGTTCCAGCCCTTGCCTCAGTGGACCCCAGACTCTGCTTCCTCCTTTAACAAGGGTGGGGCAGTGATCTGCCCTTGGCTGGGTGTGGGATAGGTGGGGAGACTTATAAGGAAAGGCACAGAGGACTGGAGCATTGAGTTATTGTCTGGAATTTCCAAGGCTTAGATCTCAGTGGGGCATTGTGTAACCTAACAGGAACTTGCAGAGGTAAGGGGCCCAGGGCTTTGGCACAAACTTCCTTCCTGCAGGCGGGGCTAACAAAGGTTCCCTTTAAGAATGTATTCCTGTGTAAGCTCTCTGTGTAGCTTAGGATGACTTTGCACTCACTATTCAGCTTCTGATCCTCCCTAAGTACTGGAGTGTCCCCGGCCCCGGCACCTGGGCTGCAGATCCCTTTGGTCCAAGTATGAAGATGCTTAACCCTGCAGGGCAGCCAGGAGGCTGAGTATGTGGAAGCCCATTTCACAGCTGAAGGAAAATGCTTGGAGACTGGAAGTTGCTTCCCAAGAAACGGCAGGCAGTAGTACTTCCTGTCCAGAGTCAGAATCAGAGCCAGGGTGCCTGCATCAGAACTCCAACCATTTTCTACTGTGTGAGCCCACACTAACGACTTAACCTCTTTGTGCCCACTCGTCTGACTGCAATACGGAGTTGGTAATGAGGTTTCTGACCCTCATGGTTGATGAGAATGAACTGGGTTGGATGTCTGGCACACTATGTCATGTGTGCATCACTCCTGTGTCCTCAGGCCAGCTCCGTGGTGTGGTTTGCGTGGGTGAACGCAGCAGTTCTGCTCTGGGTGCAGAGGGCCACACATTCAGGTCTTGCGGAGAGCTGTCCCCGGGCTTCTGGCCCACCCAGCCTCCCGTTGCCATGCCTCCCACAGCTCGTGGGAAATCAGGGCAGACAGCCTGTTCTCTGCTTTCACTCTGAATGCTTTTGGGTGTTTCCTCCCTTGGAGACTCATGTTCTCCAGGGAGCTTTCTTACTTTTCTTCAGTAAATCTGTTTGCTGAAAAGTAAATAAATAAAAAAAATTATTTAATTTTTTTTGTTGTTGTGTCATGCTACAGATGGACCTCAGGGCCTGTGCTTAGAAGGTGAGCACTTTACCACTGACCTATGCCCCAGCCACTCACTGGGGGACTTTAGGCAGGGGCTCTACCACTGAGCCACGCCCCCAGCCCCTCACTGGGGGATTCTAGGCAGGGGCTCTACCACTGAGCCACGCCCCCAGCCCCTCACTGGGGGATTCTAGGCAGGGGCTCTACCACTGAGCCACGCCCCAAGTTCTGCTTTGTAATATTAAAACTAAGGTTCCTTGTGGTTCTTCTCTTTGGCACTTCTACAGGGTCCCCATGGAGGCAGAGTAGGCTATACATGTTTAGCATGTTCAGTTGTAGCAAGAATGTAAAGGTTTTGATGTGTCGCTCACCAATCTGACCAGCAGACAGAAGACGACGAACACGGAGTTGTTCTTCTCAACGCAGTTTATTCAGGATCCTTTACTTCAGCAAAAAGCCCCCGAGCCTCTCCTCCACCGCCCTTAAATCCCTCTGCCTTCTCCAATCAGAGCCTGCCACGTTGGTGCATGCGATAGGATAGCCGGTATTGCGAGATGTTGCCCTAGGTAGTAGATGGCCTGTGCAATATTGCCTGTGGGCGTGGCCTCCTCAGGGGCGTCCTGTGGGTGTGGCCTCAGGCGCCATTTTGGAGTGGCGATTCAAATCCGGCCCTACATTGATGGTGATCAGACACATCTGGAATAAGGGAAGCACATGCTATCAGCAACAGTGAAACATTTGCAATTCATTTTAAGGGTCTGATAAGTGACTAAGGAATATTACTAGTGGGGACTGGAGAGTTGGCTCAGTGGTTAAGAACACTGCCTGCTTTTCCAGAGGTCCAAAGTTCAAGTCTCAGCAACCACATGGTGGCTCTGTGATAGGATCCGATGCCCTCTTCTGGTATGTCTGAAGACAGCTACAGTGTACTCACATACATAACATAAATAAATCTTAAAAATAAAAAATATTACTAGCATTGAGGATGAGCCTCAGAAAAGGCCAGCTCAGAACTGAGCTTGGTCCCACAGAGCCAGAATACATGCTGGGAGACCTCTGACTGACGAGAGAAGGCAAAGTCCAGGTGGGAGGGAGTGGACACATTGACAGCAGTGGCTCTGTGAGTAAGATAATGCTACGAGGGGCTGGAGAGATGGCTCAGCGATCAAGAGGATCAACACACACACACACACACACACACACACACACACACAGAGCCAGCAGGAAAGAGCCCCATGACTTGGTGGACTGTACATCCATTCATTCACCTAGTAACTATAGTAACTACTCAGTGTGTGTTATGTGCTGCCCATCGCCCGTGGTCCTGGATACATGGGGCTGTCAAGAAGGACTCAGATTCATGGCTTGAGCACTATGGCAGACAGTGCTCTTCCATCCCCTCTGGCGGGCTCAAGAGAGAGGGCCGGTGTGAAACGGAAACTCTGCTTTAATTGGATTTGCTGGTGTGGTGTGCCCTAGGGAGGAGTATTAGGCAGGACAATGCACAGAGCCTGGACTCAAGTTAGGGGAGGGAAGCAGGAGCCCTGGGTCTGTGGGGACCTGCTTGGCAGAGAGCTACATGTTGGGACAGGTGCTGAGCACCGGTGAGCTACACACATTTCAGGGCTGGCAGAGGGGAGAGAGTACAGAAGTAGAAGGAAATCTAAGACCATGTTCGGGTAACCGAAGCTCAAGGAAGTAAACATTTCAAGAAGGAAGCAGTCACCTGGCTGTTTTTTTGTCCATATCTGTGTTTTTGTTTTGGGTTTAATCTGGAGGCTGACTGAGACAAAGTAGGGTTATATTTTTTCCAGACCCCCTACCAGAAGCTGGAGAACTTGCTAGTTCTCATCGGATTCAGATTGGCTGTGGGTCTGTGGGCTTCCCACACACACACAGGGAGGCAGACCATCTGAGACAGCCTTTTAGTTTGTGTTTGTTTTCCCAGGAACATCCTTCTGGGTCCGATGTGTGTATTCTGTTTGTTGTAATTTTTGTCGTCTCGTACAAAATTCTCTTCCATTCCTAGGATGGGACAGGCTATGAAGCACCCCACTCGGCCTGGTCCTGAACCATTTTAAGGATTTTTGCGGAGTCTCAGAAGACTCCGGTCTGGTTGTTCATGCCTGCCTGCAAAACTAACCATCTTTTGCAGGAATAAACGGCTCACCTATAAAGTAAGACGGTCTGAGGAGGGTCGGCCTTGGCCCCCTGCCTTGCTCAAGCCCCATTTCTGCTCTTGGGTAGCCTCTCTGTCCTCCTCCTGCATAGGTAAGGGAGGGGCAGCCCCCAACTCCCCTGACTCTCCTGATTCCACTCTGGCCCGTACTGCCCAGAGGATCGACCCTACTATGGCCTTACCCCTCTGGGCTACAGGACTCTCAGATGCTCAGGGGAGATAGTTCATGACATGTGTCATTTGCCAGTAATGATCTTTACGATTGGAAGTTACAGGACTCCCCGTTTTTAGACCATCAGCTCTCACGGGTCTTCTAGATTCAGTCATGCTGACTCAGCAGCCCACCTGGGATGACTGTCAGCGACTGCTCCAGGTCCTCTTTACCACAGAGGAGAGAGAGAGAGAGAGGATTGTGGGAGCCACCAGGAAATTGGTTCCAGGAGCAAGTGGGTTGCCCACTCAAATCCAGGCTGATTTCGATGCAGCCTTTCCTTTGACTTGACTCAGCTGGGATTTTTAACACTGCTGAAGGAAAGGAGAGGCTGGCTCTGTGTCTACCGACAGATTCTGATGGGGCAGCCTCTGAGAGGGGCCTCCGAGAGGCTGCCAGACAGCTCACAAATTTAAGGTGAGCCAGGTGGTACAGGGAAAGAATGAGAACCCCAAGAAACATCTAGAAAGACTTTTTGAAGCTTATAAGACCTACATTTTTGACTCAAAAGCCAGCGACCCCCCGTCCGCGTTGACTCTGGCTTTTTTTTTTTTTTTTTTTTTTTTTTTTTTTTTTTTTTTTTTTGAGACAGGGTTTCTCTGTGTAGTCCTGGCTGTCCTGGAACTCACTCTGTAGACCAGGCTGGCCTCGAACTCAGAAATCCACCTGCTTCTGCCTCCCAAGTGCTGGGATGGCCTTTGTTAACCAAGCTGCCCCTGACATCCCTTGGAAACTTCAGCCACTGAATGGCTTTGCAGCCTGCCTCTGGGTGGTACGCAAAAGCCAGCCTCTATTTGCCTTTGAATGGCAAGACTTGGAGAGATGCTTCAAGGGACAACTGACTTGGACATGCCTGCCTCAAGGATTCACGGACTCACCCACCACCTTTGAGGAGACACTGCACGAGGAACTGGGTGAGTACCAGCAGGCCTACCCCCCAAATAACTGTGCTCCAGTTTGTATTTCTGGCCCCTGACTTGGAGACATGCCAGGAGACCACGTGAGATCTGCTACAGGAGCTGAGTCAATTGGCTACCAAGTGACTGCTAAGAAGGCCCAGCTTTGTCAACTTGAGGTCGCCTATCTGGGGTACATATTCAAGGGGGGAGGGGCGACCAACGCATGCTGTTAGATGCCCTGGAAGCAAACCATCCTTTGCATACCAGTTCCATCAACCCGAAGGCAAGGACGAGAATTTATGAGATCCGTTGTGTTTGGTAGATTTTGGGTGCCAGGGTTCACTGAGATAGCCAGACCATTGTATGAGGTTACCAGGGGCCAAGAACAGAACGGACCCCTGAGATGGACGTGGCTTTTAGACTCTAAGAAGAAGCTTACTGGAGGCACCGGCTGTGGCCCTCCCAGACATTTCCAAGCTTTTCTACCTGTATGAGGATCAGAGAAAGGAGATAGCAAAGGGGTGCACACCCAGAGTTTGGGAACTTGGACAAGACCTAGTGGCCCAAGG